CCTTGAACTTACTATGTGGTCTAGTCTGGCCTTGAACTCTTGCTGGTTGTTCTGTCTCAGCCTTCTAAGTGTTGGGACTGCAGGCGTGAGTTAGCTAGAGAACTGACTCTGAGGTCCCCAGGACCTTGTGTTCAAATCAGGTTTTCCTCCTTGGCTCTGACCCCGCCAGCTCCTGGCTCTGCCCCGTCCTCCTTCGGGCGCTTCTCTTGTTCTCCTGCTCTTCTCCTACGCCCCCCGGGACTCCCTGTACCTGCCCTGGCCGACTGCGTTCGTCAGTGCCTGGCCTTCGCGCTCTGGTCGCTCCCTGATGCCTTCATCCACTCTCCTGACCTCCTGGCCGTGCCTGCCCCTTCCCCATGCTGCGCAACCCCACGGGGTGCACTCCTGCCTCCTCCCCTCACCTTTGTGCCGGCAAAGCCCCATCTCATCAGTGAGTCTCAGTTTGGAAGTCATTTCTCCCACAACGCCCCAGGACCCTACTCCAGCCCAGACTCGGGGTCCTTTCTGGGCGCCACCATAGCCCTGCCCTCCCTTGATAGAAGCATTTCCTCTCCCTCCCTTTGCTACCTGACCACGTGCTCTTAGCAGGGGCAAGACCTACTTATTTCATTGAACAGTCACCCTCTGAAAGTGCAGTTCTGGGCATGCTAAGATGACAATAAATGTGGAGATTTCACCTGCCAGGTAAAATTCTTGTCTGATCCTGGTTTATCTTGCTTTAGATGATCTCCAGTTCCATCCGTTTTCCTGCAGATGACATAATTTTGTTCTTCTTTATGACTGAGTAATATTCCACTGTGTACATGTATTTTTATTTGTTGATGGGCTCCTGGGCTGGCTCCACTTCCACTATTGTGAATTGCATTGCACTAAGCATGGATATGCAAGCACTCTCTAGTGTGCCGGCTTTAATTCCTTCTGGTCTACCAAGGAGTGGGTAGTGCTGAGCCACTTGACAGCTCTAGTTTTAATGTTTTAAGGACCTTCCCCATTGATTTGCATGGTGTCTGTACTAATTTACAGTCCTACCAGCCGTGTAGAAAGGTTCCTCTTCTCATTAGCATTTATTGGTTTTTGTATGCTTGATGACAGCCATTTGATGGCTAAAGATGTTGAACATTTCTTCATATACTTATTGGCTGTGTGTACTTCTTTTGAGAAGTGTATATTCAATTCATTTGCTTATTTTTATTTTTATTTTTATTTTTTTGTGCATGGTCTCACTATGTAGCTCCAACTTGTAGTGACCCTCCTGTTTTCTGCCTCCCCGGTGCTGGGATTACAGGCATGCGGCACCACGCCGCCAGGACTCCATCGCTGGCTCAGCATGCCCGAGGGCGGGGCCATGCCACATGCGGTGCCCGAGATTGACTCCTGGCCCCTGTGCTTGCCTAAGCAAGTGCTTATCTGCTGAGCTATCTTGCTGGCCTTGTGTTATTTTTTGAGGGGATCCTTAAGGTGTTTTTTGAAGTCTATATATTGCGGGTTTTTTGGTACTGGGGATCGAATTTAGGATCTTGTGCTTGACAGGCAGATACTTATGCTGCTGAGCTGTTTCCCCGGCCCTATATTCCTGGTATTAACATTCTGCCAGAATAATATCTGGCAAAAATTTTGTATTCTGTAGGTTGTCTCTTAACTGTCAGTTGGTTTGCTTTGCATAAACTTCAATTTTTTTTTTTCAGAACCGGGGATTGAACTCAGGTCCTTGTGTTTGCCAGGCAAGCATTTATTCCACTGAGCCATCTCCCGAGCCCCAACTTCAATTTCTTGTAGTCTTTTTGATTTTCTTTTTTTTTTTCAGGACAGGGTCTCACTGTGCAGTTCAGGCTGGCCTTCAGCTCACTTTGTAGCTCAGGCTGGTCTCAAGTTTGCAATGATCCTCTTACCTCAGCCTCCGAAATGCTGGGATTACATGTGTGCACCACCATGCCCAGCTTTACCATTGTGTTTTATTTTGTTTTGTTTTCCATTTGTGTATTTGGTACAGGGTCTCACTACACAGATCAGATTTGTGGTGATCTTTGTGTTTTCAGCCTCCCCAGCGCTGGGATTACAGGCGTGCACCACCACGCCTGCACTTGGATGCTGGCTTAGTGAGCCACAGAGGCAGGCCAGCACAGCATGCGGCACCAGGGATCGAACCATGGTCCCTGCGCTTGCCAAACCAGGAGCTTAGTCTGTTGAGCTATCTTACCAGCTCTATCACTTAATTTTTTTTCTTCAGATAATTGTCATTTTAAAAAGAAAAAAAATTATCACTAGCTTGACCTTTTTTTTTTTTTTTTTGGCACAATACCTATTTACTCTGGTTTTATGATGGTTATTTTTTTCTTTTAGGGAAGAATAAAAAGTTGTATTTCTATTTTAGAAGGACAAGGTGTGTCCTTAGGGTCCAGTTTTAGTACCCAGGTGGCTGAGTTTTGTGAATGGAACTCAGCCCTTTGTCCCCCTGCTGCCCCTCCTGTTCCTTCTGTCAGAGCCAACCATATTTCCCATGGTTGCCATAACAAATAACCAAAACTGTCACTTAAAACAACATAGTTTCATGACGTCACAGTTCTGTAGGTCAGAGGTCTGCTGTGTTTCTCATGGGGCTAAAATCCAGGTGTCACAGGGTGGTTCCTTGTGCTTTCACAAACGACAGTGGAGCTCAGTTTAGTGATACGCCAGCCTTAGCATTAGAGGGTGAGCCGGGGTGCCCATAACTTCCGGTGTCATGTATTAGGAGTAGCGTGGATGGATAGCTGGAGAGTGTCAGATATGCCACAGAGCAAGTGCAATAAAACATGAAGGATGACTAATGCTTTGGAGTCTTGCCTATTACTGTCATAATTCTTCATTTTTGTGTTTGAAAAATTATTTAAGCAAAATGAAAAAAAAATCATGGGTAACACTGTTAGCCAGACCCTCAGCCTCTCATTCATTCCCATACATCAGTATAAGGTCGCTGGTTCTCAGCAGAGGTGATAGCATCCCCAGAGGACACACAATAAAGTCTCTAGCCATTTTTAGTTGTCACCTGGGGCACTGCTGCTGGCCTCTGTGGGTAGAGGTCAGGGATGCCACTAAACTCCTTCCAGTGCACAGGACAGCCCCACAACAAGAAGGTGGACCCCACTGTCCAGAGTGCTGACAAGGCAGAGAACGTGACCAATGTATGCAACCTGCATGCATGTATTCACACATGCATGTAATCACACATGCATGTTTTACACTGTCCTGGTGACTTTCTCATTGCTGGGACAAAGATACCTGACAGCCACAAGTTAGAGCAGGGAAGGTTTATTGTAGCTCACAGTTTGTAGAGATTCCCGTCCATGGTCAGCTGGCTCCAGGGCAGGGTGGCAGGGGAAACAGTGCTTGGCAGGGCGCGCAGGGCTCAGGCGGTGGCAAGCTTGCATCCCCTCTCTCCCTTCATGTTCCACCCCGACCAGAAGCCTGTAGTTAGTGTTGGCCACACCCAGAACCCTGCAGATGCAGTCAGTGGACTGATCCAGTATCCAGCCACCTTCAAAACCCTCCGCCTATGAGCGTATGAGGGTTTGGGGGGGACACCTAGACACAAGCCATAATATGTATTTACATAAATTTTAAGCAACATTGGACTTACAAGTTTATAACTCATATTTTCATAATCTGTTGTGATGTTCCCGTGTAATGAAATTGCTTTTCACATCATCCCATTTTAACGGTGATCATAGATCACGTGGTGCAGTTTATTGCACCCTGCTGTATTCTGGCTTTTTATTTTATCTACCTCCTGTACTTTTTTTTTTTTTTTTTTTGCGGAACCGGGGATTGAACTCAGGCCCTTGTGCTTGCCAGGGAAACGCTTATTCCACTGAGCCATCTCCCCGGCCATCGTACTTTTATTTTTTTGAGACAAGGTCTTGCTATGTGATCCAGACTGATCTTGAGCTTGCTGTGTAGCCTAGAATTGTACTCAAAGCTGCAGGGATCCACCTGCCTCAGCTTCCCAAGTGCTGGAATTATAGGCAAGCAGCACTACACCCAGCTCTATTCTGGCATGGTAGGTGATGTCCTCATCCTCAGGGGACCTCAGTAGTCCTGGGCTGTCCCTGTCAGATGAATCTCTGCTCTGTGATGTGAAGGTCCTGGGCACTGAGGACTGACTGGGTGCCAGCTTTCTCTGTGCTTGGGCACTTGGGGTGCCCAAGTGTTGCCACCCTTTCTGTGAGTGGGTTGCTGTAGGGTTCAGCAAGCAGAGGCAGCAGCCGTCAGAGTGGCATCTCGCTGGGTCTGGGTCAGCGCTGTACAGCCTGAGCTCTGGAGCCAGGGAGGGTGGAGCCACACAGTCCAATTCCATGCTCCTTTCCGCCTGCTCCCCAAGACCTGTGCAGCTCCCAGGGACACAGCCTGACTTACACCTCTCTGTTTTTAATTGCAGGCCTCTCCTTCGGATGAAAATATAGGAAGAATGGATTGCACTCCCCAGACTTCCCTAGTCCCATGTGGGCAAGATAAATACATTTCCAAGTAAGGGTCTTGGCCACAGCACTGTGAGCCAGGCCTGTGTGGGGACACTGTGGGTGGGTGGAAGTCGCTGCCAGCGGGCTGCCTGTGTATCATGAGTGTGTGGAGGGGCCAAGGTCTGCATGTGGACCAGTGAGAGCAAGGGCACGCTGCAGATGTGGATTTGAATGGGATCCAAGCCAAGCCAGAGAGAGAGAGAGAATGTGTAAAGGGGGGGGACAAGACAGCATCTTTAGGGGTTCAAGAGAGAGGTGTCCTGGAAGATTCTGGGAGGAGGAGCTGGCTGGTGGATGGTTGCTATGGTCAGAATATTTGTCTCCTTCAGAATTCACATGTGTAATCCTAACCCCCAACTTGATGGTTTGGGGAGGGGATTAGGTAAGGAGCAGGGTGCCCCTGTGAGTGAGACTGGTGACCTTACTTCAGGGGTCTGGGGGGCCTACTCGCCATTTGATATTTGAAGGTACAAGGTGTAGGGCCGTCCAGGAGGAGTGGGCTGTCACTGGGCTCTGCAGCCACTGCAGCTGGGCCTTAGGCAGCCTGTCCTCTGGAGCAGCAAGAAGTGAGCGCCCTTGGTTTGTAAACCTCCAAGCCCGTGGGCTTCCGTCCCAGGGGGCAGAGACTGCTCATGGCCTGTGTGGTGCTGCCCGAGCCCTGGCTGGAGGACTGTGTCCCTGGGCATCGTGGCTCTGGCTTTGATGGCTGTGGGCGTACTCTGAGCAAAAATAATGGGTTTGTTGCTTTCTTTGCACTGAAGTCTCTGGAACTGAAGACTGTGACTATCACTAGATGTGACAGAGGTTGAACCAAAATTGGCTTTGTTCCATGGTTAGCTTTTTTTTTTTTTTTGCAGTACCAGGGATTGAACTCAGGCCCTTGCACTTGCCAGGCAAGCGCTTATTCTACTGTGCTATCTCCCCAGCCCCCCTCCCCCCCTTTGTTAAATTTTATTTATTTATGTGTGTGTGTGTGTGTGTGTGTGTGTGTGTGTGTGTGTGTGTGTATGTAGCTTTTGGATCTATTGCTATGTCCAGC